GCAGCCTCTTCAAATATATTATCTCCCTTCATTCCCAGATCTCTGTTCTTGGACACACGTGTATCGAGCATGTTCTCTGCTACATTCAGAATTTGTGACTCAGAAGCACGGAAGACTTTATGTAGGACTTTATCCACGTTGTCCGGCAGGCTCTCCCGCTGTGCTGACTTCAGCTTTAGTGACATTTCTTGTAGCATCGCTTCCAGCTCATGGACATCGAAGTACTTCTGGAACCGCTGCAAAGACTGCTCTTCTTTAAAGAAGCTGCTTATTATACGCAAGTCCTCCCTATGGTCACTGTGCTGATGTATGTGTACATCTGCAGGTGTATGTGGAGTCCAGTGGGACAGGTCATCTTCAAGTTCTTCAGAAACAGACCCCTGGTATTCTGTGTCCATGAATTTCTCTATATCCTCGTGGTCCTCTTTTAAGAGTTCTCCCCCAGGCTTCTCTGCAACCCCGAGGGGTTCCTCTGGGTTGTCTTTCTTGAGAGCATCTTTATTCTGAAATGCTTCGCCTAGCTCTGGAGTCCTAGTTTTCTCCTTGTCCGGGAAGTCACTTATGTCAGATGGTTTCTGTGCTTTATCTACCAGAGGGCTTTCTTCTTTTTCCACCACCGTACTGCCTGGGTCCCTGCCTATTGTGTCTACTCTTTCGGCCACAGGTTCACTTTTTCTTTTAGTATCCCAAATCATACTGGTTTCTTGTTCATTTTCTTCAGTTTCCAGATCAGGGTTAATGGTTCCTAAAATTGCTCTTTTGGCGACTTGCACATTTACGTCTGCCTGCCTGTCTTGAGTCCCAGGGCTCTTCTCTCTAGACTTTTTTGCAATGACAGCATTTTCATCCTCCAGTCTCTGCTGCTTCTGGATTTTCAGCATGGAATCCTGGCCCTCGTGCGCCGTCAGTCTGGTCTGCCTCCCGCATGCCAGAGGAGTCCTCGCTGACCTCTGCCGCAGCGGGCCTCGTCTTCTCACTCACACGCTTGCTGTCTGCAGCAGCCACAGCTCTTCCTCATTGCTCGGAAAGATTTCTTCCAAGAGAGGGAGCCTCTGCTTTCTGTTCTCTTGGCAAACTGATTTTATCTGGAGAGGAGAATCTAGGCTGATTTTGAGTTTTAAGAAATACTTCCTCTTTAAATTCCTCATGTTGATGCTCCACTGAAGGCATGTGTGGTTCTGGTTCACTTACCAAAAACATTCAATTCTGCCACACTGTCTCTGGATGCATTATGTGGATTATCTCCCAAACGTGGCACAATGTCCAAGGATTCCCGTTTAATCTTTTCTTCATTCATTTGATTCCCCGCAGCGTTATGTACAGATCCACTCTCTGAGCCACCTTCCAAAATCTGCTCCCCAGGCTTTTCTCCGTGGTGTGTGCCTTCTGAGATATGAATAGCTGCTCCTTTTTGGTCATTTTCTCTGTCACCAGAGGCAGATTTTAATATGTCTTTACCCTTTTCAGCAGCTAATAAAGAGTCAAGGTTACTGTCTGGAGTAGAGCTGTGCACAGCCATCTCCTCCTGCCTCTCAAATAGTTTTCTCCTTGTCCGGGAAGTCACTTACGTCAGACAGTTTCTGTGCTTTCTTATCTACCAGAGGGCTGTCTTCTTTTTCCACCACCATACCGCCTGGGTCCCTGCCTATTGTGTCTACTCCTTCGGCCGCAGGTTCACTTTTTCCTTTAGTTTCCCAAATCTTACTGGTTTCTTGTTCGTTTTCTTCAGTTTCCAGATCAGGGTTAATGGTTCCTAAAATTGCTCTTTCGGCGACTTGCACATTTACGTCTGCCTGCCTGTCTTGAGTCCCAGGGCTCTTCTCTCTAGACTGTTTTGCAATGACAGCATTTTCTTCTTCCAGTAGCTCTTCAGGGGGATAGTCAAACTCTGCTGCTTCTGGATTTTCAGCACGGAAACCTGGCCCTCGTGCGCTGTCAGTCTGGTCTGCCTCCCGCATGCCGGAGGAGTCCTCGCTGACCTCTGCCACAGCGGGCCTCGTCTTCTCACTCACACGCTCGCTGCCTGCAGCGGCCACAGCTCTTCCTCGCTGCTCGGAAAGATTTCTTCCCGGAGAGGGAGCCTCTGCTTTCTGTTCTCTCGGCAAACCGATTTTATCTGAAGAGGAGAATCTAGGCTGATTTTGAGTTTTAAGAAATACTTCCTCTTTAAATTCCTCATGTTGATGCTCCATTGAAGGCACGTGTGGTTCTGGTTCACTTACCAAAACATTCACTTCTGCCACACTGTCTCTGGATGCCTTATGTGGATTATCTCCCAAAAGTGGCACAATGTCCAAGGATTCCCGTTTAATCTTTCCTTCATTCATTTGATTCCCTGCAGCGTTATGTACAGATCCACTCTCTGAGCCACCTTCCAAAATCTGGTCCCCATGCTTTTCTAAGTGGTGTGTGCCTTCTGAGACATGAATAGTTGCTCGTTTCTGGTCATTTTCTTTGTCACCAGAGGCGGATTTTAATATGTCTTTACCCTTTGCAGCAGCTAATAAAGAGTCAGGGTTACTGTCTGGAGTAGAGCTGTGCACAGCCATCTCCTCCTGCCTCTCACCGTCTAATTCACTCTCATTTTGTACCAGGCCCCTCTCAGGTTCTTGAACTTCCCTCCTTTTGCCTCTAATGTGAAGTTCTGTGTCCACTTCTGGGTCTTTCTATTATTTCTTTCAGGGACTTCTACAATCAAAAGACCGTCTTCTACATTTTCAGGGTCAGTATATTCTATGGCTGATCTTGGTGTCTCCTGTTTGCTATCTGGGATGAATGAGTCATCATCTTCCTTTTCTTCCTCTGAAGAAGGACTCTCTAAATCCATCACACCTGTTTTCTCTTCACCTCCTGTGACAATAGAGAAGATAGTATCCCCCCAAGTTGTTAGTATATTTTTATTAACATTTTTGATGGCAGGAGGCAGAGTTATCTCAACCTTATGCTCTCCATTTGAATTCTGCTCTTTATTTGTTGAATATTTCTCAACTCCAGACTTCACTGGAGTTTTCATATCTTCTTCACTTGTAAATTTTAGTAATGGTAGCTCATCAAAGTTTTCTTTATTTTCCTCTTCTTTTTCAAATGCGTAATACTTAGCATCCAATTCCTCATCAAAATTATCTTCTAAATAAGTAACAAGTCTGGTTGTCTCATCGTCAGATACAAGTGCATCAGCAGTTGAGCCAAATTTGGTTTTCAAGTCCAGAGTCATGTCCTTTTGCAAAAGTTTATAAGCATCAATCTTCTCCTGTTCACTCAAAAGTTGAGAACTATTGCTGGTTTTGTTGTTTTCACTTTGTGGCACTTTTAATTGATCTTGCAGCATTTCTTCAAGAGGTTCAAACAAAGACTGCTCTCCCTTAGAATCGCCCATTTGACTGTTTGCATGGTTCCTCTCAGCTATAAACCATTCCTTGAGATCATTAGTGTTTTCTAGAAACACGCTTGTTTTCCCCTGAGTTGGCTTCTTCTTGTTTAGATTCAGGTTCATTTTCCTTAGATACATCAGGAGTTTTTTCCACATGCACATGCAGAGAAGTTTTTTCTACAGCTTTCTCAGAATCTCCAGTTGCAGACTTGTATAATTCCAAAGACCCTAAAAGTTCTACATTATAATTATCAAAATCGTCTCTTCCTGCATTAAAACAAACAAAATCTGTCTCCTGTAAGGTGAAGAAAAACATTGATGTGTCACTAAGTGGCACAAGAGTAAACTCTTACCATGCTACTGAGAGAGATAACCCCAAGTTCATTTTGGCTCTAGAGGGGCTCCTGTGTCAACCATGAGTGATGACTACTCTCAGGCAGTGGGGGGACAGGAGGCTGGAGCCCACTTTCCCACCCAAGGAGTACTCCTGGCTTCCCTTCATTCTCTCTTCCCCAGAAAAGGAATGATTCATGCTGCTGCTGAGTTTGCTCAGCCCCATCCCTGTGTTGTGTTTCGGACCTGCCAGAGGGAATTCACAGGTGCCTTTTAGGTTGAATCCTTAGCAGTAAGCAACAGGGAGTGTGCTGCCAAGTCACCATCTTTAATTCTGAAGAGTTTGATTTAAATGTTCCCCAAATGTCAGAAGTAACATGGTAATCAAATGAAACAGACACTTGAGAAATATTAATAAAACAAATCTTTATTAACTATTACTACAGAGAACTTCAGCAAGAGGAGAAATAAAGTTTAGTTATCTTTTAGTAAACATTTTTAGCATAAAAGTGAACTTCTGCATTTTGAAGCCAATGAAGTCTTTTACTGTAATGAATAGTGTATAGTCCACTTTTCCCCCAACTAATTGTCAAGGGTTATAGTTACAGGCTCTGCTTCGAAGGCAGTAAGTCTCTTGCAGCAGGTGGTGGTGGGTAATCCTGGGGGCCATGGGTTGGGGGTGGTAATCGGCTACCAGGAATAAAGTACTCTCTCGGGCCAAGAGAGCCGAAAGGTCTTAATGGTGTGTGTCCTGGTACAAATCCCCGAGGGTCAAAAGGCAGGTCCCATCTTCCAGGTGGAACTCCTGGTGCATATTCTCTTAAGTCTAGTGGTGGACGCATACCAGGACCTAGAAAACAAACATTCAGTCATGTAAAAATACCTAGGAACATGTCTAAATTAAGATCATTCCAGGTACATTAATATATTCTCTAATTTCTAACAACCCTACAACGTTAAGTGTTGGCATCCCGGTTTTATAGATGAGGCAAACCGAGACTCAGCATTTTTAAGTTACATGCCTTTGGCCAGCCAGCCACGAAGGAGCATAGGCAGGATTTAAACATGGCTCTACCTAGCTCCACACCTGCATTCTTTCCACTATACAATCTTGCCATCTTTTTCTCATAAGAGCTCACTTTGTACTTGCACATACCATAATACCATACCAAAGTGACAGATTATGAAATAGGACTTCTCTGCAACAAAGAAATTTTGATAAAGGAAACTCCATTGTCTACTGCTGTAAAAATTCATGCAAGAGTTCAGCATAGCACTAACATACGCCATCAAATTCAAGTTACTTGCCCTGCTTGAGAAGACCTTCTAGCTTCATCCAACTAAATTCAGCATCGTTCACTGGATAGCTATTACATCCTACCTTCTCTTTAAAAACTCCTTCTCATCTATTCCCAAGTGAGGAGTGAGCTTAACCTTTCCTTCTTTTGTGTTCTGTGACCCATTTCTTATGCTTCTGTTATGGGTGATCACAAGCTTTATGTTGTAGAATCTATGTGTCTGTGACCTACAGGACATCTTGAGTTAAGGGATGTGTCTTAATCACCTTTCTATCCATTGCAGAACCTGGCACATAGCCATGGGTGTTTAATAAATAGCTGCAGAAGTAATATTTCTGTCTATCACTAGCTCCTTTCCTTGTCTAGATGAGATAGCTGCTGCCATCTCAGTACAGGGAGACTGTGTAGCACTTCATGTGTCCTAAGAACTTGAGCCAAAATTAAAATGTACTCAGTCAGCTTTATCCTTGTATTGCAAAGCCCTGCAACAGCAACTGTTTTAGCGAAGAACAGAGAGAAAAGATGAATATGCTTTACAAGTCAGTTACTACTATTCAAATCATCGTACCGAATGGTGGAGGAAATGGCCGAGGCCAGAAAGGCCCGCAGAGCTGAGCGAATGGCCCGCAGAGGTGAGGAGGTGGTCCATATTGAATGGGTGGTGGGATGGGGCCTCCAACCAGACAGCTCATGGGAGGCACCCCCGGAAAAGGAGGCGGGGTGGCTTTAGGAGCCATATTAACCTGCAGAATAGAAGGAATTCAAGTTTTGAAAATACTTCGGTATGACAGACAAAAGCACCAACACCAGTAAAAGGTAAAACCCAAAGAAGCAGATGCCAGACACCTGTCCAAAGAACGGAATCAGTGCAACAAAATTCTACCCCTCCCCCGTTTGTTCTCACTGACAGCTTAGAGAGGTTATAGGGATGCCACAGGAGTGAACGGTCTCACTGTAAGCATGTGACTGTTTGTGCCTGCGAATGGAATGGAAAAGCAAGAGGACTGTCAAAGGATATCAATGGAGATGACTCCTGATTAATGAAAAAGTCATACCATACACACTGTGATGTACCTGTAAGGCAGTCACTCCCTCCATTCACCACAATAGCTCTTTATTTCCATATTAAGGATGCAGAGAATAAAAAGGAATGAAAAATCCATTCTCTACGCATGTCCTAATAGCTACTAGTCAGAGTACCTTCAAAAGGGCTTTCCTATATCTTGAATTCTCAGATCTCTAAATCTCTAAGTATGACCATCTTATTTTCATTATGAGAGAACAGAGTTTTAGATAATTTGCTGAAGGTCCCCCAGCATGGAAGAGGCCAAGCTGGAATTCAATACCAGGTTTGCCTCCAAGCCCTTGCTTTTTCCACCTCTACTTCCCCTCTCTAACAAAGGGGTCTCTACACTCTCTAAAGTCTTCCACCTCAAAGGGCTTTTGGGTCTTACCCAAGCTTCCCTTGGATAAAGAGATCTCTCAAGAGATATGTGTTCCTGGAGTTCTGCCCTGGAACTCGGAAGTATCTTCCAACAGAAACAATGTTATATATACAATTAGGCAGGCACAGCTCTAATATTTACCTTCGTTCATTAGAAATGCTATATATTTTAAGATACTGACTAATCATTTCCTATGGTAAACTGGGTTGGAAACTCTAAATATTTAAACTTACTTTGATTTCAACATAGAGAAGCACTATGAGGTATGATCAGAAGACTTACCAGCTATAACAGCTACAGAAGTAACAAGAGAATACAGTTATGTGAACATAATTTAAGGCCATTGCTGGGAACGGAATCAACAGGTAATTACAGATTTTCACTACTATTTCAGTTGCAGCAAACATTCTTCTGTTATTAACCTGTAATTTCAGATCATTCAAAGTAGGCTTTGCCAGGGCCGGCCCGTGGCTCACTTTGGAGAGTGTGGTGCTGATAATACCAAGGCCGTGGGTTCGGATCCCTATGTAGGGATGGCTGGTTAGCTCACTTGGAGAGCGTGGTGCTGACAACACCAAGTCAAGAGTTAAGATCCCCTTACTGGTCATCTTTTAAAAAAAACTGAAAAACAAAGTGGGCTTTGCCTATTGTACAAGTGGAGAAAATTTTAAATAGTACTCTTCCAAATGAAAATATAATAATGATGGGTTTTGCAACTTAAAATGTATTTACTTTGCCTAAGAGCATTCAACACTGAGCCACACAATATAGTTGAAATGATGTACAAGTGGAGAAATTTTTAAATAGCACTCTTCCAAATGAAAATATAATAATGATGTGTTTTGCAACTTAAAATGAATTTACTTTGCCTAAGAGCATTCAACACTGAATCACACAATATATTTGAAATGATGTACAAGTGGAGAAATTGTTAAATAGCACTCTTCCAAATGAAAATATAATAATGATGGGTTTTGTAACTTAAAATGAATTTACTTTGCCTAAGAGCATTCAACACTGAATCACACAATATAGTTGAAATGATGACTTTTCACCTTTTTAAAGTTAATTACAATTATAGCAGATGCTCTGAACAGGTTAATTGTCTAACCAAAACAGGCAAGAGGAGAAAAAACAACTAACCAGCTAGTCAGATTTCAGCAACATTCCCAAACCAAGGACAAGGGTGAGATCAGTACTGCAGTGCAATTTAAAGCCAAGTACATCAGTACTCCTCATATCCTTTCCAGAAATACACAAAATAAAAGCCCAGTCCAGTCCTTGACCTCTATGTACTTACTGCTCCTGGATGCTCAGCCATAGAAGTAATGCTGGGAACTGAAGGGCCTTCAGACTCTTGCGGAACAGTTTGCTTTTCAAAAAACAAATAAAAGTACATACAAAGAGGAGATGAGAAAAAGAGAGAGTGTTGTAGGAAAAGCTGAATGTTCCTGAAATACCTGATTGTAATTCACAACAGCTGCAGCATTTACCTTGCCCTCATCCATCACCTTAGAAGGGGAAGAGCTTCTTGAGTTGCTGTTCATCACGGCAGCTGCACCAGATCCTGGGTCTGTCAAAGGCCAGAGTACTAATTTAGACTTATTTTGACTTGTACCCTGTGAAAAAATCCTCCACTCACCTTCCACCATGATGTTAGACTCTTTGAACACACTTAGGTCCCTTACCAGAGGCAGAGGATTTCCCAGACACCTCAGAAGACCATTGAGGATGAGACAGAGGCCTGTCCACTGACACTTGAGAAAGAGATAACTGAGCCCTTGAATGTATTTTTTCAGGAGAAATAAACCAATTGTGGACAGACCTGGGTTCAACTCTACCTAGAAAGCGGCATTAAAAACGGTTCTCCCAATAAATCTAAGGGAAATCCCTTGTAATTTATGCACGGGCTTAAAGAATTAAAATAAGAACTGTTGTGGATTGAAATAACAGCAATAATCCCTGCACATTAGTAGCACTGGTCCTGTACTTCATTTAAGCTTGATCTAATTCTATAGGTTGATGTTTTTCACTATATAATCTGTCTTCAATACCTTATCTAGCATTATAGACATATTTAGGATTTTTAAAACCAATACAGTATTTCAGGTTATAGTGATGATATAAAGAAGTATATATGCTGCATGAAGTATAAAGTTTTAAGGCTAGTTTTATAATATTCAGGAGAGGAATCTCACATTTAAAGATGAAGGGTTATACTTCCCAGTAAAAAGTTAAAATAAACAAAAAACAAGAAAAGGACCTCCACAGAAATAATAAGTAAATGCTTTCTGTTCCAAAGTAGATCTTGCAGTAGACTATCCACCAAGACAAATTAAGAACTTTGCTTCTGTCTACTGGAAAGATCCAAATTCTAAAATGTTATTTGCATTAGAAATCTTGAATAAGAGGCAAAGAGCACTCTTGAAACAGTTTATTCCAGGGTCACATGTGAATGCTCACCAAATTCTCTTCTAGGCATATCTCTTCGGTTGAGCGTAGTGGAGAGAGGCCTCCCAGGTGGCTCTGCTGCCAGTGGAGGGGAGCATTCTCCACCACTCACAGGGGATGGGCCAAACGAGTCATTGTGGCTCAGAGGACCTGAAGAAGACAGCGTCTTGTTACCACTTTAAGACCTTTCTTTTCTTCGGTAAGTTGTTGGGATTATTTCTAGGGCATCATAACTATTACCCACAATATAAAAAGTAATTTACATATGCTCTACACCAAAAAACAGATTGCTGCTTTCTACAAAATGTTTCCCACCTCTCCGTGGAGGGTTTTGTGTGTTTGGTCTTCCTGGCATTGGTTTCACAATCACAGGTTCTTCTTGCAGCAGTGCCACCTTCTGAGTTATTTCCAATAATCTTGAATATACAGAAAGAATGGACTTAAATATGAAATAGAAATCAATTTCTTATTAGAGACTACATAGTACAGCTTTCAAAAAACTAAACTGCATTGAAAATAGAGATATCAAAATCACTTACTTGTGTCTCAGGTCAGCGGCTTCCCTTTTCTCTTCAGCTATAGCGCTTTCTGCAGCACGAACTTTTAGCTGTTGGAGAAAATATATTTAAATTCAGTTGTGGTAGATTACACACAAAGTAAAGAAAAGAAAGAAAATCTTACCCAGTTATCATGCACTTTTTTTTCTTGAGCAGCAATCTGAAAAGATACATCAAAAAATATGTTTTGGAATTCATTATAATAGCCAGTATAAGAGTCTGTATTTGATACCAAAGAATCCTGCAACTGTAGGGCAGTATAATTATTACCTGGTCTTTAAATGAGTGCTCTGTTTTCTGCAATTCTTCCTCCATTTCTTCAATTCTCCGCCTAAGAATTACACGTGTTTTTACCAGTTAAAGCACAAGTGGATAAAAATTCAAACAATCTGGCCACATTCCCTATACTCTTAACAACTGTACCCTAAAAGACTTCATCCATACATATAAACACATATTTACATGGTTATATAAATAGAGTACAACAATGATGAAAACTAATGCCACATAATTTCCTAATTATTTAATGGCTAGAAATTCTGAGTCAATGGAGATTATCAGTTGTTGAATTATAGTTTCCTTATATGTTCTTCAATATGTTCCCAAATAATCCTATTAATATCTTCCTTGATAAAGCTTTCTTTACTCCCTTTTATCAGAAAACTTCCGAGAGTTATGACTACTGCATCTATCAGTAACTTTTTAATTTTTTCCTTTTTGTCTTTTTTCATGTCTGGCAACGGATCGCAACCCTCAGTGTCGCGCCCGTACCGGACCGGGACCGGCAACGGGATCGCAACCCTCGGTGTTGCGGCCGCACCTCGCTCAGCCAGTGAGCGGGAACCGGTCTGTGTGTGGGATCCGAACCCTCGGCGGGAGCGTTGCCATGCTCCCAAGTGGCGCACTGTAGCAGTGCGCCATCAGGCCAGCCCCTATCAGTAATTTTGATGGCTTTTGATACATACTATAACAAATTTGTCTCTTAAAGAATTACTGCATTATATACCCCCCCTCCCCTAAACTGTTTGCATGAAACAAGTTCCCTCATATACATTCTTGTCAGCACTGGCTATAAAATTTAGTATTTTTCTTTTGTGAACTGAAGGTATTCGTGCCCACTCACATTTATGCTTCTGGACAATTATTTTCTTCTACACAATGTAAAAATTGTTATAAAAAAAGCTAACATTAGTTTCATTAGCCATTGACACCACCTTTAGAAGCTGAACTCACTTGTAAGTTTTTACTTCCTCTGCAGCCAAAACCACCTTCTCATGTGCAGTTGACAGCTGCTGCTCCCTTTCTTGCCGCTCATACTCTTTTTGACTCAATTTCCTAAGATAAAATGGGTTGTCAAGTGAAAGTGTTTCTCTTTCTTCCCAGCAGTCTAGCTGAAATCTCTATTCAAATATCAATTCCCATCCTACTCTCAAAAATACACAGACATACAAAGTCATAGGAATCAATTCAAACCTGCCATTTTGGGATAAAAATCAAACTGTGGCCTCTTTGAGAATCACCTGCATTTTCTAACTCATAATTCTCTGCTCACTAATGAATGAAACAGATGTAAGAACACTGGGCAATCTCTTATGCTGGAGATGAAGAAAGCTCACCTTACTTCAGTGTGGAGAGCCAGACGAGTCACCTTAGCATAGCTAAGCTTATTAGGGTAAAGCAAGGGAGAATTACTTCTCTTATTTCTACCATGGAAAGACCACTAGTTACTTTTCTTATTTTGTAATGGATGAAGTATTTCTGAAACCAAGACATGATAAAGGTCGTCATCCAAAGAGTCTTTGGAACATGTCATGTAACTATGCAATTAACAGTAGAACATTTTCACATGTGAGATGTGGAACTCCTACTACCAACTTCGATGGAATCATGATTAAGGAAAGAGGCCAATCTGAGTACTGGCAATGTTTATTGAACAGAAAAAGAATCCAAATGGTTCCATAATCAGGCTGTTATCTACTGGAAACTGGTTTCAACCTAATAACCTTCAAGTTCATGATGTCAATCTACTATAACACAGATTGTAAAGGGAGCAACATTTATTGGTTTAAAAATGCTATTTTCTAGTAACCCTTGTACTTCTTTACCCATAGTTCTGATTCAAGATAGTTAAATTGAAAGTTAACTTTCTATGAATCAAAAGCAAAATTAGAAGAGGTATAGTAAAAAAAGTTTACTAACACCAAAGAAAAAGGTTTACATATTTTTTTATAACTGTTCATTCAGTACTTCAGCAAATATTTTACGTGTGGCTATAATACAGCAGTCACCTTGTAAGATGCTAAGATAAAAGTATGGGTGAAATACTATCCCCACACTAAAAGAAAGGAGCTCACAGTTTAATGTATAAAAGATATATATAAGAACAGAACAACTCCTCCCTAACTCTGGTTTAGTAAGAAATGTGAAAAAACTCAGACTTGAAGAAAGACCAGAGAGAATTTTGCTTCCAATAGTGGATTTGTTAGTCTGAGAACAACTAGAACATCTAGAGCTAATAAGGCAGGAAAGATACATGTGTATGGCCAAGATCCACTAGGAAAAGTAATCTCAGAATTACAAGTAAGCCTGGAATTTTAAGCCACTCTTCCCCTAGGTTCATCCACACATTGAAGACAGTGCAGAGAGATAAGGAGACTGAACATAGCTTCCAACAGATCTCAGGTTCAGATAAAAAAGAGGTGGAGTTCTGGGCTGCTGGTGATGGGGGAACTCTAGTAAAAGCCCTAGGCTTTGAGCTGAGACTAGAAAGTGCTGGATACGTGGAATATTAAAGTGTTAATACACTGTCCTTTGAAGAAACTGTGACATTTTTGAATGACCTTAACTGCTGACTGGATTAGGTGATGATGACTTGCTTGAAATAACCTCAAATATTTCTGGTAGGAAGATCACACCATCCTAGGCCTTAAATTTCTATTATCATTATCCTAGTTGTCACTCAATCTAAACTGACCAGGCACTCCACAAGACAAGACAATGTGATCAAAAATCTAAAATACAAGAGAAATGGACTCAACGGCTTCACATAATGGAATTATTTTTACACAGATTTTAAAATTATTGTGGCTTACATATTCAGGGAAGTGAAAGTCAAGATGAAGAATTTCAGCAGAGGATAAGAAATTATAAAATGAATAGTAGTAACTGAAATTAAGAACTCAATGACTGACTTTAGCAGCAGGTTTCATAACTGAAGTGAGATTTTAGTACATTGGAAGACAGGTCAAAAGAAAACATCCAGAATGAAGCAAATTGACAGTGCAGGAGAGAGAGGAAATAAATTTTTAAAAGCCTGACATGTTTAATTGGTATATCAGGAGAAGACAAAATGAGGCAAAATTAATACGTTAAAAAAAAGAAAAAAAGACCTCCACATTCAAGAGGTGTTCATCACCCAAGCAGCATAAATGCAACAGAGAGACAGAGAAAGGGGAAAAACAAAACCCCCAAACTTAGGCACCTCCCCATAAAACTGCTGAAAACCAAAAAGAAATGTGAATTAAGGTGCTAGGACAGGGGCGAAACATTTGCAAGAGGGGAAATAAGAATGATAACAGATTCCTCAAGGAAACTTTAAAACCAGAAAATAAGCAATTGGTTATATTTAAAGTGGTGAAATTAAATAACTGCCAAAAATTCTACAGCCAGCAGAAAGATCCTTTAAAAATGGAATCAAAGTAAAGATATCTGATACAAAGGTAAATTCATGGAATCTGTTACTGAAGGATGTTCCAGTAGAATGAAAGTGATCCCAAATGGAAAACCAAAGATGTAGGTGAATAAAGAATTACAGGGACTATAAATATGTGTGTAAATGGAATGAATATTGGCAGGACAGCACCATGAAAGACAAGAAAATGTCTTGTGGAGCTTGAGGTATACAGAACATTAAAATACATTAGCACAAAAGCACCTAAGTCAGGAAGGAGGTAAAGCCCAGAAAGAGGAAAATCTATTAATTTATGTCAGACTTTTTGATAAGTCTGGGATAAAATTCTGTGGTCTTTTAAGCTATGGTCACGTGTCAATTAACAGGGATACGTTCTGAGAAATGCATTGCTATGTGATTTCATCACTGTGTGAACACCAGACTGTGTATGCACACAAACCTAAATGCTATCGCCTACTACACATCTATAATCTGTGGGCCTACCATCATACATGTGGTCTACCATTGACCGAAATGTCATTACAAGATGAGCAAGATGACCTGTAACTAACTACCAAGCTTAAACAAGGGAAGAGAATAATTAAAAATGTTCAAACAATTCAAAAGGAAGAAGAAAAGAAACACAGTACAAACCAACAAACGGAAAGCAAATAACAATATGTAGATTTAAACTCAAACACATATTTAGCAGTTACATTATGAGAAAAATATGAGTACTCACCCAGTGTCTATGGCTATTTATGCCAGCACTCCCTCCAGAAAAGATTTTAAGGAGCATAAACATTTGAGTAAGCAGGAGATTGGCAGGTAAATTCTGTGGTCTTTTAAGCTATGGTCACGTGTCAGTTAACAGGGATACATTCTGAGAAATGCATTGCTATGTGATTTCATCACTGTGTGAACACCACACTGTGTACGCACACAAACCTAAATATGGAGTGGTGTGATGACTGTACTGTGTGTGGCTGTAGGTCAGGAAGCATCAGAAGGAGCTACAGGAAATGGACCTGGAGAGGCAGCTCAGGACCACGTAAGGGGAGCATCCTCTATACCTGCTGAGGAGTCCAACATTGATACTGAAGAGAATGGGGTATCTTTGACAGAGTTTAAGCACATAATGAAATGGTCAGACTTGTACTTTAGAATGTTCACTCTTGCAGCTTCAAGAAAAGCAGAGTGTGGAGGAAGTTGCATAAGAAAGGGAGACTGAAGACAGGTGATTAGTTAGGGGACTGGCAGAAAAGATGACATGTGCCTGAACTAACACAGTGGCTTTGGGAGAGGACAGTAGAATACAAACCAAACATGATGACTGAAAGGAGGCTGGAGGAGCTGAATAAAATAGTGCCACAGTGCCTGAGTCCTGAAGAAAAACTGTCACTTACATGATTCACACTACTATTAGGGCAGAGACATGCTTATTCTTAGAAAAGGTAATAAAAAGAGGAATGTTTCTCTTAAGTGGGCCAGATTGTTAGGGCTGGCCTGAACAAAATTTGGAAATCTAAACTGGCTGCTTGATGAATGCAGAATTAGAGAAAAGTTAATGGTGTGGTTTCAGTGTTTAATGGCATCAGGCAGTACAAGCAATTTTTAAGAAGTTAGCTTTATTCAGCAATACAGGCCTTCTCCCAGACTGAGTAAAGTATAAGACTAAACACAAATAGCAATGCCACAGACAAGCTATTTTTAGGAATTCATATAGTTTTGTGGAGAAAAACCTCAAAATATACTTCAAAAACACATCTTTTGAGAGACACTTAGCTCCAAATTTGAGATGTATATTTCAAAGATTAATACCTAAATATACACACCAAACAGATATTTCTGTATTCAAAACTCCTAACATCCTTACCATAATTACATCATGATTAGCCTGAATATTTGATTATATTAAGTCCTATACTTTCAATAACTAAATATTCCTTTTGAAGTTCATATTCTACTAAAAAACATGTCATACAAATCACCTTGAATATGAAAAGATCAAAGCAAGAGCTAGTAAAACAAATGTAAGACTAATCAGAATTATATAACTGACCACAAAGAAAGGCAAACGGGGTAAGTGTTGGACTACAGACAGGGTGTGCACCTTCAGAAAAGAAGCATGTGTGCAACAGTAACTGTTGCTACCTGTTAACCGCGCCCCTCACATGCATTACAGGCAACAATTGCTGATGCCTGGTCAGAACAGAAAGAAAAATGCAAGTTATGGGAAACAAAATGGAAAGAAGGACAGACAACACATACCAATCACAGATGGAAAAAACCGTAAATAATCTTTAAAATAAAATTATCTTCATTAGTATACATATTTAGTCATGACAATTGTGTTAACAAGTAACAATGAAAATCTTACTTTTGCAGAGCCGTCTCATTCTGCTGGTATAGTTCACTCAAAATCTCCACTTTCTGCCTCAGGGTTTTACATTCATCCTTCAGTCCAGCTTTGGCAGACTGCAGTGAACTGCGGTCCTTTTCTAATTGCTTTATTTCATCTGTAAAGGACAAAACAGTTGAGCTCTATATGTGCGCACAAGGACTTCAGAACGTGGTTGAGAAGGCAGAGCCGAACGGGGTGAGAAGAACAAAGCAGAAAGCCATTCCTCGTCTTCCCAATGATATTTTGTATCTTTCCAATATGTGGTGGTTTCTTTTCAAGAAGCAACCTACCTTGCAGATTCCATTTTGTGGACATGGAGGCTCTTAGCTTAAATTGTAAGAGTTTTAGATCCTCTTCAAGTACTGATATTGTAGTTTGTGTCTAAAAAGTGCAGAAGAGAGAAGTATTCTGAAAAGTGAGTCATCGTAAGAATTCACAAGAACTTATGTGACTTTAGAAAAAGGATTATACCTGAGAGACATCCATCATCTGCTTAATTCGAGTTTTCATTTTCTCATTCCGGTTACCTAAAAAACAGAAGGTTTTAATTGCTTTTTCTTCCCTTGCTTTTCTAACTCTATATTTTCTTGACTTCCGCAAAACTAAAAAATTATCGTGTTCAAATACTAAAAACAACAACAACAACAACAACAACAACAACAACAACAAAACCAAATTAACCAACAGAACTAACGAGACTAATTGACTTTTAAGAGAATTAGAAGTATAATTTAAAAATAAATTCCTAGTATGTAAAATAAAAATGTTATCTATGCTGTTTTTGAGCAAGAAGAAATATCTGAGATGAAGCTCTGTCTTCTCTCTCAGATCTCTGCTTGGGTAAGTGTCTTATTTTAGAAAGAGTCACTCCTCTCTTCTCCCCCCGAATCTGTTACCAGGTGCAGTTTAAAACAACCACTAATGCAAGCAATAGCCAACTTGGGAGACTGTGTTTAGAAACATTTTCCTCATCAGCAAACACTGCTACCCTGTAGCCTCCACTCTCATAGCCTAAGTTAGTTTATAGCTCCAACCACTTCAGTACCCTTAAAACTGGTTGTAAGCCTTAAAACCACACAGCTACAGAGACGAGTATTAAAATCATATGCCATCTCTATGAAGCTGGGCAACAAGTTTCTCCTATTGCATGTGTTCAATACTTAGAGGTATAAAACATGACCAGTACAGTTCCAGTGCATGTTAACTAGTTCTCAATGGGATGGGAAAAAAAAAAAACTTCAGTGTTCTTTGCTTTCCAATTGCTAAATCACACCCCAGGCAAACCACCTCTGCCCAATGCAAACAGAAATATATAGAAATCCAATGATATGTGTCTACGACTCTAAAGCTTAAGAGGAAATTCTGCCAGCTGAGAAGCAGCATCAGTGTACTAAATTAAAGACAGGAAGGAACAAGGGGTCCAACCTCCTGAGACTGATCTTACCTCCCACCTCTCCATTTGCTAATTCATCTGACTCCTTTCCTCCTTTATTTTGACTCTCAGATTCAGACTCATACTCTAGCTGATTCAACTGTGTAATGCAATTAGTCAAAGCCTAGAAAAGAAGCAAAAGGGGATCCGTAAGAGTCTCTCAATTTTAATTCAGCAAATTTCATGAGAATTCATGAGAATTAAGCATGTATTCATGGGAACAAACTTACATTAATATTATCATCTTTGTGAGTAAGAGCTACTTCTAAATCTTTCTGAGACTTCTTAAATGATTTGATTTGCTCACTGAGTTCAGCATGTGATTTACTCCAGTCTCTGATTTCCTGCTGCAACTGAAAAGTCAAAACACGTGAATTCCCACAGGTTAGGGCTTCTGCACTGAAGACACTAGAACTATGTGAATGAGACTGGGAAGTAAGAAACTAAGCCCCTCCCTGACCTGTCATTATGGGTTAAGACCCTTGCTAAGGGAGAGGGGAGAGTGCTGTTAATGATCAGAGCTATAGCGTGAACACCAGATGTATCAAGCAAGTTGATCCAGTTCACTGCATCCTTCAGAAAATTGCAGCCAATTCAAATAATTCATTTCCAGTACGAATGGGAGAGCATGTCCTATCGTCTCCCAAGTCCAGACTCCTGTTTATGTAACCTTCCCTTGGCCAATGAAGCAGTTAACTAGTCAAAGAAGGGTTAAAAAATACCTACTTCTTTGGTCTAAAAAGCCAATCTATTACACCTTTGAAGCTACTCAAGTTAGTAGTTGGTTAATGTTTGATAAGACAAAGACTAAACACTCTGATCATAAATTGTACAGAAGAACAGGAACTCTGGAACAGATAAGAATGTGGACATGCACTCAGTTCTGGAAGCATAGTTTTAACTCTGCATATCTAAGAACAGAATTCTGCATGCTCAATTCATGACCTTAAAAGCTGATCTGAGAAAAAGTATTCATGAGGTAATGGTATTCGGTTGTCTAGTTTACATGACCTAGGACATCCTTTTTTTTTTTTTTTTTACCTGCTCTTTCTTCTTCTTAAGCCTAGCATTTTCTTCTTGAACCCGGTGGCATTCAGACTTCACCTTCTCTTCACTAAGCTTATCTTCTTTAAGAGCAATTTGAACCTAATGTTAAAACATTCCTATTAGTGAATTAATTCCAAAAAACAAACACGTTACACTTTCCCAACCAGAAATAACGTAGTTTTCATTTTCTGCATATTTTAGCACACATCAAATTTTTGCTCCTCAACAAAACTAAAACATACTTTAACTATTCCATAAGAATTGTAGTCAGCTTTACCTCTGAAAATTCTGAAGCGTTCATGGAGATAACATTGTTTAACTTCTCTATAGATTTCCTGTTTTCTAATATCTGCCACGTGGATACAGAACACAAAACATGTGTTAGGATTTTAGTCGAAACATGAGGATATATGCCAAAAAGAAGAAACAATAACAAAACATATCCCAGTGCCATCCTGTATGTTTCAGGTCAAAGCATGTGAACCAGTTTTGGCATAGGGGAAAAATCAAGAACTGAAAGAGGAAACATAATTGAGGGCAGAAATATTTTATGGCATCCACAGCGTTCCTGGTTATGAGGTAATGTAGTAGATGACCAGACAGAAAGGCGAAAGCAAAGAAAATGAACAAACTTTCAAGTAAACCAATACAAATCAATAATTTTTTTCTAGTGGTAGAGAAAAAACAAACAAACAAACACAACGGCAGTTTAAAAATTCTCTTGCCTGAATTAAAAATGGCAGGATTTGAGGGAGAAAAGATAAATTTCACATACAGGAGAAATTCCAAACAATTTATGAAGATACTGGCTCTTCAAGGAGGTGGGGCATAACTCTCCCCTCTTGGACTGTGGGTAACTTCCTTCCAAAGAGTCCAGTATATAAAAGGTGGAAAAAGAGTAATTTTATACTGGAAAACCTGGCAAGACGACCTTTCCTAGGTGGTCAAGCTCCCTCTCTACTGTCTTTGCAACTTTCATGTAATACTAAAATTAAAGTAAAAAGTTTACTGAAAAAGAACTTACAGAACAAAATATAAGGACTGTTACAGTTATCACAGTTACAGTTTCTTAGTTGCTCTACATGTTTCAGAGGACAGAACCAAGTAATATGAAAATTACCCAGAGCTGAGGACAAAAATACCTCCATAAAACCACTTTAAGTTATATTAGTCCTTAAAATTCCACAAAAGTGGACAGAAGTAGGTTCAACTTCTCTGACTCCCTCTCTTACTTTAGATAACAGCATGGAAAATATCGTGTTCAACTCATGCAGTACACAAAATATTTTAAAAGCCAAACTACAGTAACACTTAGCAGCAAAACTCTTACCAAGTCCTGATTCCTGACAGTATGTTCTCTCTCAGATCCTAACAGAACACGAAGACTTTTAGCTGTGTCATCCAGAACTTTACTAGTTTTATCAAGTGTCTTGATTTTATCCTACAAAAAAAGATACTAAGATTGGTAATAATTACTCATTACTTTTACTTTCGTTTTCAGAATGTAATCCCAAGAAGGGAATTTTACCTTATATTTAATCGCTTCATCACGAAGAAGCATATTTTGTTTCTTGGTTTCTTGAATATATTTCTTTGATTCCTTGATCTATATAAAATAAAGTGTTCAGAATTCAAAAATATAAATTATAGTTCTACCAAAACTTATTTCCAAATAAATGACCCCTTACAGAAGGAAGCAGTGCTTTACACATATGATGACTGCTTAAGATCTGAATGGTTGGTAGGAAATAATAAGAAAATATGATTTAACAATACTATAATAACTAAATTTATAGTAACTATAAAACAGGCAGAAATAATTCAAGCGAGAACAATGGGGAACAAAACTAAAAAAATCATTTTACCTTCTGTTCATAATCTGACAGCTTTTGAACAAGTTCTCTATTTTCTCTTGTGATGTTTTTCACCTTGTCAAAAATTTGCTGTTCAGTGACTAAAAAGGGGGCAAAAATCAATTAGTCACTCAATAAAATTGTTACCCAATGTATTAGCAGCAAAGACATGTTATTTGGCACTATGAGGAAAAAGAACTTCTTTTCAAAACTTTTATGACTTTTTAAAGAGCAATCTGTAGTTAACAGCAATAAGGATATAAAAATATTATTAAAATTTAAGAAAAACATTCTTATAATAGAATGGTTATTTAAATGAGATTCTAGTTTAAATATATACAAAAATGGGAAATATACTAAAACGTTATAGCTTGATGTTCCTCTCTGCATGAAGCAGATTTCTTCTCAGAAAATGGGATCCCTTCAAATACATGTCATTTACAGAGAGAAACAGAAAGAAAATGCAAAGATATTGATTGATATTTCTATTCCTCAAATTATCTAGTTTAATAAATGTTACATGTATTGATAAAATCATTGGCACAGGAACGTTGTTCACCTGCAATAAATCTGCACTGCATCAACATTTAAATTCAGGCTGCCCCAAATTAAACTAATCATCTTCTCTCGACCCCCCCCCCCCCAATTTATTCTTCCTCATCTCCTATCCGTTGGGTTTACCACCATCTACTTCATCATCCAACCTAGCAACCCAGGAAAACTAAAACTTTTGGGGGCTAATAAGTCAATCAGACATAAGAAGTCATTATATCTACTTCTAGCTTCTATAAAACTGATAACAAACACCAATACAGAGGAAACAGTACAAAAGACAAAATAAGTCTATAATTTTACCTTGATAAACTCTACTCTTTACCTGGAAGAGAGAGAAATAAAATTAAATTTGATGTTAAACATTTTATTAATAAAAATATATAGTTCGTAATATAACAGTGAAAAATCATAACCATGTGAGAGTTTAATAATGGTTTGACTCAGCCTAATGAATTCATAGGAATAAAGAAAAAAGTAAAGGTTAGAAAGAATTTCAAATTTAATTGGTGGCGATACTTCATAAATAGTCTCGATAGACAAAAGCACTAAGGTAAATATACCTTTCAGCTAAAGATATGTTTATATATCTATTAAATGAGCACCAATCTTACAAAATGAACAGAATTTTAACAACAGAAATGTCTAACATTTCATAATATACTAATGCTTATTTACCTAAAATCACTTATTTAATAACCCAAAATACCAAGACGAGGTCTAGAAACAATGATTGTTCCAAAAGACTCTGATGAAACAAAATTAAAGGCATAATCTTTCTACTAAGATATGCCTCTTTCATTCACCAGAAAACATCTTTGAAATCTTATTCAAAGTTGGCTATTGGCTGAATTTAGAAATACTTCTGGGCGTGTGGTTCCTTTCAGTCAGGTTTGGGTCTTTAAAAAACATGACCTAAAAATATTACCAGAGCTTCAAAAAGAGCTCTGGTCATCCTGGCTAAGGGAGCAGAGGAAAAGGGGGCAGTCATCCATGTAGATGTCATGAGACGAGTTGGGATTAGGGTCACCATTGCAGGTCTGGCTGGAAAAGACCCAGTACAGTGTAGCCGTGATGCTGTTATTCATCCTGATGCCTGTGTTAAAGATGCAAAAAAAGAGAGACCATATAATATGGTTGTCCAAGAGGTAATCTGGGTGCACAGAATTTATCTGAGTCTGCTGCTGTGAAAGAGACACTGAAGGAATGAGAAAAGAGGAAGGGCCTCATAGCTGCCATCTGTGCAGGTCCTACTGCTCTGTTGGCTCATGAAACAGGTTTTGAAAGCAAAGTTACAACACACTCACTTACTAAAAACAAAACGATAAATGGAAGTCATTACAGCCATTCAGAATCATGTGGAAAAGGACGGCCTGATTCTTACAAGCTGAGGTCCTGGGACCTACTTTGAGTTTGTTCTTGCTATTGTCGAGGTGCTGGGCAGCAAGGAGGTTTCTGATCAAGTGAAGGCTCCACTTGTTCTTAAAGATTAGAGCAAAAGAAGTTGATGGTGAGTTAGAGAAATAGGCCTTATAATCCATTCTCACTGTGTTCACTTTCAAACAAAAGATGACTGGTTAATGTGCCGAGAAGCTGTCATTACTGCTTTTGTGAAGTGTAGTTTGTGAAGTAACAACTCCACAGAGATTTCTTAGCCTACAAATTGTGTCTACATTTCTGGACCTTGTCTGCCAAATAAACAGGGCATTTAGGAAAAAAAGAAAAAAAGAAGAAGAAATACTTCTCATGAGTTAGATCGTTTAATTTTCCCAGTCCACTATAAACAGTGACCATACATCTGAAAGGGAAGGGAAGGGAAGACTGCTGGAGCAAAATGCAGAAAAGACCAGAGAAATAACAGCTAACATCTTCCAAATGGGCAAAAACTAAATCACCCCCTGAAGACAGCTCTAAATTTACAGGATAATAAAATCTAAGCAGTAACTAATTTTTAATAAAATACTACTACATTTCTTTAGAACTCCAAATACATTTCTCCTTTCAAATGTTATAAATGGTGATGGGATTGTCAGTCCAGTCCACAAAATCATCCATGTTATCTCAACACCAGTTACAATAATGCTGTTCTAGGAAAATGCATTCAGAAAAATCCAACATTTAAAGAAATGACTATTTCTGTACTGTCACAGCCTAGCTAATGAGAGAGTAAGCTTCCTTTGCTCCCTTTCACCCAAACTAAAAGTCAGGCAGGGACCAGGTTTGCAAAAGGCAAATGCTAAGGCTGAGAAGCAACAGGGCAAAGAGACTACATAACCTTGTGCAAATCAAAACAGGTGTTAGGGTTTTTATAAATGGGAGAAACAAGATTGGGAAATATAAAGTGTTTTCACCTTTTCCCCTTCTGTTCACACTTTTATTCTCCCTTTTTCCTTTTATCTGAGGAAAAACCTCATGAGGCTAGAGAATCCAGGCAAAAGAAATCCTTCTTTAAGGAATGATTTTACAATCAATTGGGCAAGGAGAGGAAACTTATTAACAATATTATGTCCAATGTAATATAATTAAGAAATTAACAAAACAATAAAGTACTCAGTTTTAGAAAGAATTGCAGTCAATGATTTTGGCCACTTTAACTGTTAAGTTTCAAATGAAAGCCTTTCATTTGCACAGTTCATTTACACAATAATTTCCCCCAATTCTGTGAAACAACTGTGAAGCAGAATGACATACAGTAAAATAAAAAGTATGTAGGAGTACACACACATATACATACATATATATGTCTGAAAGTCAAATTCTGTACAGAAAGAAGGATACAAAATTTTAATAGTGTCTGACAATCATATAATCTGTATTTCCAAATAAGATATTTTCTGAGCACATGATCAAATCAGAAAATCTGGGAAACACTTGTATATGTAAGGGGAAAAAAACTGAAAAATTACTTCATCTCGTAGATATAAGAATTTTTTATCGTTCTATTGTCTTTCTTTGTAGCATTTTTTCTGTGTGTGTGCGAGTATACATATGTGTTTTATATAACACCCAGTTTACCTATACTTTAAAGTCTTGGTTTCTGCTTTATTCCACTTCACGTTAAATTGTGAGCACTTTCTGTGCCCCAATGTCTTTGAAATATGTAAAGACACCTTATATCCCATTATATGGATATACAATAATTTAACAATTCCCCTACCATAGGGATCATTTAGGTTGTGACAGCTTTTCAGTCTAATAAGTACTTTTCCACTGAATGCCCTTGTACATGATCTTTGCTGCATGATTGGTAATTTCTTTAGGACAGATAATTAGACATGATATTATACTATATACAAGGATATGACCATTTGTAAGGCTTCTTATACATATCACTAAACTACTTTTCAGAGTGGCTGTATGAATTCCTAATTCTACTAATAGTGCATATGTGCACCCTCCTCTTCCTTAATCTTTAGGTTTTGATATAAGGGATTCATAAATTGAACTTTTCCAATTGAGTTTATACATGTTATCTTGTTCACTTAAGTCTAAAACACAAAGATTACACTATTTTATAAGGTTAGCTTGAACTATAATCATTAATTTGCATTTATGTTACTGAAATAAAAAACAAAAGTGCTAGTGATTATAAAACATCCTTTGCATTTATGAGTTAAAGTATAAATTAATTTACTCACAACAAGGACAGTTCTCCAGAAGAATACACCAAATGAAACAATTCCCAAGAAGGCTGTTATAAGTACAGGTTCCCATGGCAGTCCATAGAAATCTGGCCCAGGCTGAACATCATCAGGCAATGTAGCAACAAACTGAAATAGACATATTAGAAATAATGGGAAGCCTTAAAGAAATTTGCAATAAAGCACTCACAAAGTGTCAGCCATAGAAATTCTATGCCAAACTCCACCAGATAACTACCCCCTCAAAAAGCTTCAATAGCTTTTACTGCTTCAAGAAAGACAGGATGTTGGCAGTCTCATTTCTTGTTTGACTAGTAGTGTTTTTAAGTATTGCCAGTCTAAATGTCTTTAAATTGAGCATATATTTCCAGTTACCAGAGACCCTGCCACATCATTTTGTCCAACACATGGCTAGAGTCCCTCTGCATCTTACTTTTCTCTTGATTAAGTGGTTTTTATTACTTAAAACAACAAAAACAAAAACAAAAAAAACCCCACGTAAGACAAAAAATTTAAGTCCAGTAAAAGTAATCAACTTTCATGGCTGCAAATAAAACCAGTATGATGGTCATGGATGTGTTATTCCTCTAAAAATTTAAACTTTAATTTTATTCTACTCTTATGTAAACAAGGACACATGCTAAGTCAGATAGCTCCTGGTAACTGGTCTAGATAAATCCTGAATTTAACCGCTCTCTGTAGAACTTGGCGCCTTAATTTTAAATGTTTCCTGGGAGATAGTCCATTAAACACCTGCCTGCTCCACGCTGCTTTTGCTGCCCTCTACAAGGACGCGAGTTAACTACCATACTGACCCCATCCCCCAACAGTGCCAGGGGTTACTGGGAAAAGACCCACTGGCTCTCAGTGTTTGGATAGTGGCTTTAAACACAACACAGTGCCTGTCACTTCTAACTGTTCAGTAAGAAATGATCAAGTTATGAAACTTCAAATACACTCCCACTAGCCTCCCTAAATAGCACAGCAACATCCTGCCTGCCTCGGTCCTGACATGCTCCATTTCCTTGGCCAGGTCGGTCAGGGCACCCACTCCGTTCAGAACTCGTCCACCCGCCTGCCAGAACTGGGGTCCCTCCGTGGGAACAGGGATCATCACCTCCAGCAGCTTGGCTGTGAAGGCTGTGTACAGCACTGACAGGGGTCCCCAAAGTGCCCTGTCCGACATCACGTATGGACAGGTAGCAGGTGAGACGCTTCCCTGCGGAACAGCCCACGACTCCTCTCTAATGAAGACCGGCTCACAGAGGAGACTGAACTCAGTCTGCCCCGCAGCCGCAGCCGGCTCTTCGGCCACAGAACACTGAGAACCCTGTTACCACGGTGACGATAGTGAACACTGTGAACACCACGAGGGCGGGGCCTGCGCGGAAGGAACCAACTGCCCAGCGGTGCGGGGGTGGGGACGGCAGCCGAGCAGAAGCATCCAAGCGGGGGAGGCGACTAATGGGGTCGCCCGCTGTACGAGCTGAGAGAACGGGTGACGCAAGGGGCCAGAGTGAGGCAGCCAGTGGGCTACCGGGAGAGGATCATGCGCTGGGGCCAGAGGACAGGAGGAAGGCAGGCCTCTCCAGCTGCCCAGAGGTGGCCCCCTAAAAGTCACAAAGTGCCGAGACCCCCGGCCGCCCTCCCGTCCGGAAAGGAAAGGAGCGGCCCCATGCCCTCCGTCCTCTGCTTACTCCTCCCTGCCCAAGCTCCAGCTGCTCATGCCCCTCCCATTCTGCTGACACCCCTTTAAAAAGGTTTATCTTGCGCAGTCATGCCATCATCACCCCTATGCCAGTGAGTCCAGTTTTGGGTCCCACATTTTAAGGTTACTTGTCTCATGGAAAAGGACAGGGAGAATGAATGGTCCGGAAATCACTTTCCAAAAGTTGAGGAACCTGGGGACATTTACACTGCAGAAAGAAAAAAAAGTATTTGTAGATCTTTAAAGAGATGTCTTCAAGTCGAATATAAAGTTAATTCAGAAGAACAATCAAGCATGAAGCAGGGAAAGCCTAAGGAGAAGAGCAATGAAGGGCGCAGTGAGAGGGCAGGGCAGGCCCTGTCATTACTCAGTAAGGTACCAGCCCAAGGACACAGACCAACCACGGGATGGGACAGAAATCCAGAAACAGACCCCACTGCAGTGGACATCTGTGATACAGTAAAAATCAGCTGAAGAAAAACATGCATTTTTTTTTGACTGGCAAGGGGATGATGACCCTTTGCACGGTGATGTCCACACCATGCTCAGCCAGTGAGTGCACCAGCCATCCCTGTGTAGGATCCGAACCCATGGCCTCAGCGATCCCAATGCAGCACTCTCCCAAGTGAGCCATGGGGCCGCCCCCAAAACAGACTTATTAATAGGTGGTATTGGAATATCTAGATAACCATATGGAAGTGATCAAATTGTTTTCTTCACTTGTAGAGTCAGAAACTCAGCAGCAGGATGTGAGGGTCAGCAGGCATTTGTTATGTAAAAATATTGAGGAAACTACTGTAGGAAAACACAGTATTTGCTAAGAACAAGCTTTTGTTGGTGGATCAACTTAACCTTTTGCAAATTGCTTTATGGAATGTCACTTTGTTGTTTCACCGATGTTACCAGCTTCTATTGTTAAACTATACTTAACCATTACTCCACCTATGTTCCTTTTCTGTAACTTTCTGGCCTCAAGAATAAATACCGAGGCAGAACCCCAGTTCAGGGTTAATTTCCCAAAGGAGGAATGCCTCTCTCTTGAGGGTTCCAGGAAATTAACTCCTTTGAGGTGTCTCAATGCTCAGAAGAGATGGGCTTTGAGTAATCCTTTTTGCATCTCCATCACCCTGTGTGAGGCAAAGCAACACTGAGAATCTCCTTGTCAAGTAGGAAGATGTGTACATGGAATAAAAGCAGAATCTCTCATGAGTCTGTAATTTCAGAAATGAAGAAATGGACTAGAAATTATGAGAACAGGAGCAGCTAAAAGATGCTGACCATGGAAAGGAGTGGCACTCTACTGCCTTTTCTCCTTTTCTTCTCCTCTAACCTGGCATGAGTAAAGAAAAGTGGATAAAAGTTCCATTTCTCCTTTTTCTTTAAAAAAGTCCTCATCTTTCTTTTTTTCCCTCCACGTAGCTCCTTGCTCTGGAATCCAGAAGTCAAGCTGTTTTTCTGCAGCTGCAGTTTCTTAATGACTGCATAGTCTCTGAGGGTCTACTCATGGGCCTGTTATGGGTTGAAATGCATCCTGCCAGGATTCATATGTTGTAGTCTGTCTCAGTCATTTTATGTTGCTATGACAGAATACCACAGAGTGGGTAATGTATGAAGAAGAGACATTTATTTCTCACAGTTATGGAGGCTGGAAAGTCAAAGCTCAAGGTGCCGGCATCTGGAGAGGGCCTTCTTGCTGTGTCATACTGTGGTGGGAGAGAGAAAGGGCAAAAGAGCATGTATAAGACAAAGCAAGGGATTGGACTCACAGCCTCAGGCTCTTTTATAATTTGCATTATTCTATTCGTGTGGGTGGAGCCCTCATGACCTAAACACCTTTTAACAGTCCCACCTCTTAATACGATTATAATGACAATTAAATTTCAACATGAGTTTTGGAGGGGCATTCAAATCATAGCATAGTGCGAGCCTGCAGTAACTCAGAATGTGAGTTTATTTAGAAATAGAGTCATTGAATATGTAATTAGCTAAGTTAGGATAAGGTCATATTGGGTTAGGGTGGGCCCCTAATCCAATATGCCTGGGACCTAAGACCATATAATGGGGATAATGATAGCGCCTATGTAGTAGAGTATTTGGGAGGATTCAAAGAGTACTTAGTATTTATTTATGCCAAATATTATTCTGTAGTGCTGGGGCCATTCTAAACCATGATGCTGTACCCCTGGACAAAGCTTGGTTAATTTGCTTTGCAAAGATTTCAACTCACATGGGCTCAGAAAAGTAAAAGCTCATCTAATTCATCACTTTGCCAGATCCCTCTAAACAGCATTTGTGATATGCTAAAAGCTCCTTACTAATAGCTCCTTACTATGAGCTCACGTTTATTAAATAACAAATCCATGGATAAAGAACAGAAGTGTTAATGAATTTTTAAAGTCTGCTAGTTTGTTGAACATTTATGGCCATTAATAAATACATGGATTTCCATGGGAACATGCATGTACTTTGTCCTCTGCTATCCAAGCACTTAGCTGACACCATAGCAGGTTGTTACAAAAGCAGGAGTGTAGACAAGATTACAGGTGCTGAGGTTGACTGGTGATAACTTATTCAGGGGCTTTTCATAGGATTTTAAATACTCATCTGCCATTTTGTATGTACATTATAATATGCTGGAATATATTTGAAGAAGTTCTAAATCGATTGCTGTTTTTCAGAAAGGTGCAGCAATTTCAGCTTCTTTTCTTATTTTTTAGCAGGGTTCTGATATCCAGGCCTGCAGATGCTGCAGGATTTTGCTGAATATAGTTAAGAAGTATTGATTCAGTCCTGGGCAGAGTTGGAGATGAAGGAACCATTTCTGGAAGAACCTGGCTTTGGAAGAGAAACTGGCTCTTGCTGCATCAAATGGAAGATTGTTAGGATAAATGTGAAGGATGGGCCTCCAGAGGCCTAATGAGGCAGAGTTGAGTTGAAAGAGAGAAAATGTTTTGAGGCAAAGTATTAATGAATTATTTTTGATGATAATTCAATTTACGAGACATTTATTGAATGGTGAATAAGACAGTGACTGCTTTCATGAGCAAGGAAGACAGCAACATTAACAAATAGCTGTAATGCAATGTGACATGAACCATAATAGGAGTATGAGAGTACAGATCTGAGGAAAATTAATCTGAGTGGAGAAATTTTGACCTTTCTCTCTTTACACCAGAAGAAGTGGTGTGAGAAATCATCAGATTTGGAGACTACCATTCAGGTCTTGGTCTCGCTATGCGCTGTGTGACCATGACAAGACATTTGACTTCTCTGAGATGACTTTTGTATATCCAAGTGATATAATTTGAAAATATGGATTCAGCTGTGCCTTTAGTCAGATACACGTCTTGAATTTGCCAGTTCTTTGAGTCCATAGAACTCTCCTGGGCCTTATCTACTAAATGGGCACAATAACCTCTGCACAGCCTATCCCATGGACTGCTGTGAGAATTAAGTGTCACGATAATTGTGAAGGTGCTTTATTATCTGCACAAGGCCAAGAAGATAGAGATTTTTATAATAACCAAAGGATTTCTCTGAAATACCCAAATTTCTTTAATTGTAGGATTTTTTTTTCAAACAATACACAAAAAAATCCACATGGGAAATAAGATAGACTATGACTTCCCTCCCAGGGGCCCTCTATTTTAACCCCTCAAGTAGTAGTACATTGAAGGCATGAAAGCCCAAAGACCAAGTCTTGTGACAAATGGGATTGTCTACAAATGGTCTGAGAAATGTGGCTGCAGTTGCCCTTTCTCCTAAAGTGGTTACAGAGCTGTGAATTGTACTTAATGGCTTCTCAGAGGCTGGGATGTGAAGGGAGGAGAATGAAGGTGTGTACGAGGTTTGCGTATGGCTTAGTGAGTCATATTTACAGAACTTGGGTTGTATTCTTGCATCCACAATGTCAACAAAAGAGGAGGTTAGAAGTCAGTCTTCTTGCTAGGTTTCTTTTTCTCTAAAACAGCATTAAAAATGAGTTATGTTTTATTTCTAAAAGTTGAAAAATAGGTATGTTATGGGTTGAATGAATCTCGCAAGAGTTAATGTATTGGAAACGTGACCTCCATTGTAACTGTACTAAAAGGGTGGAAAATCCATTTTGGCATTTTAAAGGTCGGCCCTTAAGAGGTGACTAGATGGTGAGGACTGTGCCCTTGTAAATGGATCGATCCATTCATGGAGTAATGGGCGTGGGTCTGATGCTTTAAAAGGAGATCCAGTGAGAAGGTTAGCTCTCTTTTGCTCAACTCATTCTCGCCATGTGACACCTTGGTTGCCATGGGACTCTGTAGAGCTCCCACTCAAAAGAAGGCTTTCACCAGATGTGTTCCCTGGACTGTGGACTTCCCAGCCTTGGAAACTGTAAGAAATAAATTCTATTTCTTTATAAATTACCCAGTTTCAGATATTCTGTTATAAGCAACAGAAATCGACTAATATAATGTACCTGAGCAACTGACCCCACAGATACCTGAAGCAGCTGACCTGGGCTGTCCTAGTGTGAGTGACTGAGCATGAATAATCTGGAGAGTCAGGCAGGGCTTCTCTGCTCTGGTTTGCAGTTCAAGAATATAAGAATATCTTTGACGGTGGGAGGCAGGGTGCAAAGGATAAATGTGAAGGATGGGCCTCCAGAGGCCTAATGAGGCAGAGTTGAGTTTTTTTTTT